TTACAGTAAAGATGACTTTCCCTTTCACCTTCTGAAAGCTTAAGTAGAGGACACGGGTGGTATAAGGTGGTCGCTTACTGAAGACTGATAAATCATAGCTAAAGATGGGTCATCACAGCCCACTACTCTCTGGTCCCAGGCCCCCAATGTTTATGGAAATTTACAAGAGCAGAAATTATATTTCCATTTTGTTCTAGACCAAAGAAAAATGGATATTTTAGGAATTTGAAAAATAAAACGGTAACCCCCCCCCCTCGCCGACATCACATCATTCATACAAGGATTGTGGGAATTTGACATAAACAAGATGGCAGCAACAGGCTCACATTCCAGATGGCAATTTTTTAAGATTCTTTTGCTGATCGCTGTCCTGGTTTTTTGATCTCATGCTTGTTTTTGACACAATTTTCTGAGCAGAACTTATTTCTTGCATGGTTGTCCAAGAGCTGTTGTGTGATTGGTCAGGTTATTTGAGTAGGTGGGGTTAGCTTGCAGATCCACTGTTCTTTGAGGTGTTACTCAGTGTGACGGCCAGCAGAAATCTGCATACTTTGCGTGAGACCATACTGGATGGAAATGTCATTTGCAGAATAAGGTCGTCAAAACACGTGGTCTGCATACTGAATTATGAAAAGTTCCTTCCATCGTTTATCTTGCGCATCAGTTGACTATTACACTATTTGCCCAGTTCAGCTCTGGTATTGAGTGGTCGGACATGCTTCCTGTGTTCACTTCTTTTCTTCATTACTCTAACAATTGTGGATGACAAATAGAAATCTTAATTGTTTTTCAATAAAAAATTGGTCTTCCTCCTCCTTTTCTATCAATTAAACGTCCCTCCCTTGCATTATTGCATTGTTGTGTTATTTGTGAAATTTCCACAACCGTGGCACGGTTGTGACTTTCTAGGAGTTCAGGAGCTGAATTTCTCATAAAGCATGAAATGTCAGAGCTAAGACAAACTTTGACTTTTTTTTTCCTGCCACCTAAAAAAAGCTAATATCTTGGTTGCGTATGTATTAGCCTTTAGAGCTTTGTTTTCAACAGATGCATGACACATAAGAGAGACACCGCTGTTTTGAGGACTTCTGAACAACCTCAAGTGATCCAAATCTGATTTTTTTTTGTTTTGTTTTTGTGAATCCAATTTTTCTTTGGAATTTATACCCATGCTCAGCCATTACTTGGGAAAAGCTTTAAAAAATCCCCTAAGGTTTGGCCTGGATAGAGTAATCCCCTCAAATACTTATGTCAGAAAACTTTCAACTGACTGTTGTCATTAGCATTTTCCATGTTTGTTGTTTTTCTTTCTTTCTTCCCATGTTGCAGGATGCAGACTAGTTGCATTTGTCGACTATCAGTGACGTGCTGGTTGGATCAATGCTACCTGGCTGTACAGACACAGATCACATTTAGAAAGATGGGATACGTATCAGACTCCAGACCACGTCGCATAAAAAAAAAAACGATTTTTGTTGTTCAGATTGTAAATAAAAGATCATATACAGGTTGCATAAGGGAAAAATCTGATATGTTTCACCACAGTGTGAACATAGCCATTAACCATGCCCACTCAATAATCCAGCCCTTGTCAGACAGCCAGTAAAAGCAAGAAAAAAGTTTTGCCACGATAATAAGCAGCGAAGACTCCAAAATCAGGGCTGCGAGAACAAAATGATGTCATTCTGTTCTCGCAGCTGTGTGAGCGAGTTAGGAAGTTATGTACAGGCTTTAAGTTTTTGCCTCAACTCGCCTGAAAGAAAAGCCTCCCCTAAGCTCCTCATGAACTCATAAGTCTGTCACACAACACTTATTTATAAAGAAAAAAAGTGGTTTGGTTTAATTTTATTGTGATATTGTGCAAAACTATATATAGAACAAAAGTTATTGAACTTATTAAGATATTATGTGAACTTGCACGATCACAATCTTTCTCTTGAGATTCGGAGATTGTCAGCGGAGTCCAATATTTACACATAAAAGACTAATCCCTGTTTTCAGAAGGGGGGCAAATATCTCTCAGGAATTCTTTAAGTAAAATCTGCATATTTGGTTTGGATATGTCTTTGTCATGCCCATATTAGTGGGAAGCTGTAGGAAGGGACTCATAAACAGATGGATAAAAACAGAGGCACTGTGAAGCAAGCGGGGAGCAGAGTAAGGGGAGAAGAACTGAAAGTTTAAAAGAGGTCAGACTGTGCTTTAGCGAACTGCTGGCTCGTGAATCAGTGAGAAGAGAGCAAAGGCAAATAGAGGAGAGATGAAGAGAGGGGGAAGATGGAGGGACGGTGTGAAAGCTGAGGAAGATCTCTTCAATGTATTTCTCTGTGTCTCTCCCTCTCTGTGTAAACACAACACAGCATTTGAGGGAGTTGAATCGCCTCCTTAGTGGAATGTCTGGTATGGCTTCGAAAGCAGGGGGAGGGGATACATGTGTTTATGTGTGTGTGTGTGTGTGGGGTTGGAGGTTAAATGAGGCAGAATGAGAGAGTAAGTAGGGTAGGAGTTATGGATGCTCATGGTTTTGAAGCTGACAGGCCAGGACCTCAAAATATTTCATCTTGCTGATTAAAAAAAGATAAAACAGGCAGGAGCCTGGAGGCAAAGTTTGGAGAGAAATGTTATGGTTTACTTACTCTACCGCAGGTCTGATCATTGCATCAAGCAGCTCATGTCATGTATTACATTTAATGACATCTGAAAAGCAGAGTTGTGTACTTGTCCAATCTTTATAACCTAACCATGTAAATTTGCAACCAGAGTCCAAAGTCACTCTAATCTAAAACTTTGTGCATGATTATGAGTGTTTCACATATTCTGAATATTCCTTTGATAAAGCAAGGACTTTGCTAAAACACAGTTCTAAAGAAGAAAAAAAAGCATTTACATTATAAACTAGCTCTTACGTGTAGCCACGACTGGGTCTAGGCAAAATTCTGTTTTAGAAAAAGTCATATTGTGATATTGATAACGGTATTGTAAAACAGCAGGTATTTTGTGTTTACTTGGTGTCTAGCTGTGACAGTTGTGACAGGAAACAGTTAACATCTGTTTGCTGGTCTCCCACTGCCTTAATATACTATGGTTCAATGCAGCTAGAATCCTATGAAACTCTTTTCTTCGCTTTATACATACAGTATATATACAGTACAGACCAAAAGTTTGGACACACCTTCTCATTCAAAGAGTTTTCTTTATTTTCATGACTATGAAAATTGTAGATTCACACTGAAGGTATCAAAACTATGAATTAACACATGTGGAATTATTTACTTGACAAAAAAGTGTGAAACAACTGAAAATATATCTTATATCTTCAAAGTAGCCACATTTTGCTCTGATTACTGCTTTGCACACACTGCATTTTCTTGATGTTTTTCAAGAGGTAGTCATCTGAAATAGTTTTCACTTCACAGGTGTCCGCTGTCAAGTTTTAATAAGTGGGATCTCTTGCCTTATAAATGTGGTTGGGACCATCAGTTATGTTGTGCAGAAGCCAGGTGGATACACAACTGATAGTCTTACTGAGTAGACTGTTAAAATTTATTTTTTATAAATTTTTGTCGAAAACATTTATTTATTTTATTTTTGTCAAAATGCCAATTAATACCAGAATTTCATTTATTGAAAACATTTGACTGATTTCATACTGAAATGAGTTACTAAAACAGATTGAAATACTGTTGCCTCTCACAGATATGTGATATTGGATCATGACCAAACAAATACATGACCAAGTATGGAAATTGTTGGCTCTATCGGCAGATGGAAAAGTTCACAGTCACCTACATCACAGAACTTAAGCTGCTCTGTTCAGAAGAACAGCTTAAAATTCCTTCAAGCTGATGTGCAGAACTGCTGAACAAGGAGGTCACTGCAATTACCAAAAATAAAAGGTTACATGCTCAGAGTCTTTTACGTACTTATGCATATAAGTGCATAAGTACTTATGCACTGCAAGTGTTTTCCACCTACAGATATGGAATATTTGATCATTTCCTGAGAAAATAAGTGATAAAGAATATTTTCTAATTGATAACTGGATTGACTTGTGTGTAAACGTGAAGATTGTTTAGATGATTACAATGCAAAATTAAGAGTTTACAGCCTGGTGTAAAAGTTTGTTTTATGATTTTGAAGTCAAGATTTTGTGTATCAAGACTTAACTTAAAGAACATCTGGTGTTAAACAGAGCTTCAAGTAATTTGTCAATAAATTACATATTCAATTCATTACTGCAAAAATGTTTTGAAGCAGTGTGTGACAAAAAGAATATAACTTTTTACTTAATACTTATTTACTCAAATACTTTAATAGTATAATTAAACACAATTAAGTCTGGATCTAGTGTGTATGAGAAATATTACAAAATCTAAAGTTTTGTCAGTCGTCCGTTAACAGTGCATATTCCATGGAGGAAAGACATCGGTAATAGTATTATAGAAGCAAATTTACTGTCTACAAAGTGTTATAAGGCTACTCCCCAACTCTAGAAAAAATAAATTAAAAATTGATCACAGATATGACAGGAGACAGCATCTTCTTCCAAAAATGCCTGTAATGGGAAGAATTGCTTGAAAGGATGTAGACTCAAACTTTTCTGAAAACTTTTGATTAGCAGTGAACGTTTTTGAGCTAAAGATTCAATGTCATTGAAAACCAACAGACACATGAACATGTGAACTTCACCATCGTTTGAGCTAGCAGATGGGGAAAGGGCAGCCACAAATCCCTATGCCAGAGCAACTGACTATCAAATTGACTGTTAAAGGATCCAATTAAGACGCTTCTTAAGTTTAGGTGTTGTATTAGAGCTCAATCTGTCCATACAGTAGCAATGCTAATCAGCCTGACTTACTGTGTATTCAGATGTCTTTAACCAGTCCTCATCATTTGACATAGTGTCAAGTCTACGTGTTCTATAAAATAATTGGAACTGCCGTTAAGTGCAAACAAAAAATGTGTTGATTCGTACATAGAAACATACATGTTCATGTAGTCTGACTTCATTTAATTGTCTTCTCGCAGCCATTGAAACTGAGAGCACAAGCTCTGGAGAGGACTTGCTTGTCCCCAGCCCCCCATCCCCACCGCCACCGCCCCGCATCTACAAGCCTTGCTTTGTGTGCCAGGACAAGTCTTCAGGATATCACTATGGAGTCAGTGCCTGTGAAGGCTGCAAGGTGATTAAACTTGTATGTAAAAAAACACACACAAATTCACACGGTCCAGGTTATTCAGCGATATGCACGACCAGATCCAGGCTAACTGGATATTTGCATATTGTCTCAGGAAAGAGGCCATAACCTCATGCAGGATCTATAAGGCTATTTGCTTAATCTAATCCTAAATACAGACACACAATAAATATGCTTGTACACTTAGCATCTGCTCTCATATTTGTACATTTCTTGTTTAAATATCAATTTAATGGCTCATTTGAATATTACCCCAATCAGCTCTGAATTGATTTAATTTGATACACTGAATACATTTCAGAAGCTGTGCAAAGTTGTTTAGTTCATGATATTTCAGCCTCTGCCCTCATTTTCTCTCTGATAGGGTTTCTTTCGGCGGAGCATCCAGAAGAACATGTTGTATACGTGCCACAGAGACAAAGTGTGCGTTATAAATAAAGTGACAAGGAACCGATGTCAGTCCTGTCGACTCCAGAAATGCCTTGATGTAGGCATGTCGAAAGAGTGTAAGTAATCATTCTAAATCTCATTTCACTCCATGTATGTGTGTGCTCAGGATCATGATGGTGTCCAAAAGTTCACAGGTTACCAGCTTTACAGGGACTTCTGTAAAAGTATGGGACGAGTTGCAGTCATTACGGGTCAAAGGAGATTGCTTAAGGTCAAGACTTAGATTTAGAATTCAAATGTCATGATGGTTTATGTTTAGTGTTAGGCATTCAGCTGTGGTGGTTGGAGGAATGCAGGGAATGCATTTAGTCAATTCTGTGGACGAACGGGGACATAAAAACAAGTGTGTTTGGCGGCTTAAAACCACTCTCTGCAAAACGATTTTGTGTTTGAGCATTTTTAAAGTAGCTTTTATCATCATGTAATTTGTTAAAAAGTAGAGGAAGACACCATGTCACTTCTAGAGACAGTACAGCTAATGGTTTACTTTGGTATTTGACTCCATCTGTTGGTCATAAATAGTTAACATAGCTAACTAAGAAGCATTCCAGATTTGAATAGTTTCCATAAATCTATCAAAGATGCGATCAATGCTGCTTTATAAACTTAACCTTACGTTATGACTCAGGTAGTTTACAGCCCTCCTTTCCCTAAACACAACAAACCCATCAAGTCCTTTATCTTACAAACACCTAAGTGGTGCTTAATGAGACAATATTAGAAGCTTAGCAGGCTATGTTGAGTTAATGGTTAGAATAGAGATAAACCATGATAACTTGGAACGGATTTATAGCCTGTTTTGGAGCAGTTAATGTTGAGAGATTGTATATGGTATATTGATTGTACTCCTGATAATATCGCAGGCAGTAAAATCGGGAAAATATTGAGATGTCATCAGTCATAACAATGTAACAAGATGTAAAATGTTCATTGGCATTTGGTAAAAGCCAGATTGTCAAATAATTTTCTATGCTTTTGTTATTTCATCTTACACAGATTAGAAAAATATCTAAAGCTTACATAGTAGATTTAGTCAATAATCATTCACTTTGATCATTTACATCCCATCTTATGAGAAAGTAGTAGTGCTAAATTTAACACTTAAATTGATACGGTTAGGAGTTCTTTGTGAAGCTGTAATGGCATAACAGGAGTAGTAGTTTATCAAACTGTTCATTTCCTCAGCTAACGGTTCTTTGGCAGCAGTCGTCTCCGGTCATTACTGCAGTCCCAGGGTGTTTTCCTTCCTAATTTTATTTTAAAGCAATGTATCCAGTTCTGACTGTAAACAACCATCTGTTATGACTGAACTGTTGCATGTAGTGCTTACCTGAATATGTTAACTTTTCTCAGGGCAAAGCAATCCCTATTAATTAAGCAGTTGCCTAAAAAGTAATTGAAAAGGTGATATCCGTGGTTCATAAAGCCACATTTTTTATTTATGCCAGATATCTGTTTAAAGGCAAATTAAATGACTACAGGCATATCGACAGCAGCTTTGTCTGATACCGTCTGATACCAACTTACACAGCAACTGGATGGGACATGGAATAGTTCCACACTGTAACAGTGTGGGAAAAAAAGATCCTGTAATTTTTGTTTATATATTAAACGTGATATTCATTCTGTTTCTAAAAGAGTTACAGCTGCACCTTGGTGGATTTAGCAGTAATATAATCAATAATCAGTTTATTTTTTTACTTATTTCTTTTTGTTTCACAGTCATGTGAAACAGAAAGCCCGCTTTTTTCAGTTCTTATACTTTTTCAGAACATGATCACACATGGCTAGACAGCAGAAAGATCATTTTGTTTTGGCAGTTTGTTGAGCTGGATTATTCTAGCGTGTGCTATCACAATTTAGGGCAACAGTATTTTCTGTCCATCATCTTGGGAATGTTTCAAATGTAATTTTTAAACTATTATGAGTCCATCAATTAAGTTTTAAAAAAACATATTTCTGAACAGAAAGTTACAATCAAGAATAAGAATCTATTATTTTGTTTTCAGTGGAGACCTGACCAAATTTTTTTTTTTTTTTTTTTCTCGTGCGCGTGCGCGAAAGCTGCAGGCTGCCTGTTACGTCGCTCCAACTTTTATGTTCGCTTTTTTTTACAACTTTCTTACTTTTTCGTCTTTCTGTTTCCTCTGTGGCCTCACGGTAACTCAGTGAGGTTCTGTCCTCTCTAACGAGGTATTTTTCAGCAAGTGACAAGCTCCAAATTGTACTTTTTTAAAAAAAATAATGCCGCCTACAACGGGACACGCTGCGTTTGTTTACTCCGGGGAACAGCTGATCGCACTGAAGCCGGCCGGCGCCGTGACCAGACCAGCTGATATACCACCAGAACTACGGAGGAAAACTCGCCGAGGTTGCAGAGGAGGAAAAAACTATCGGGGGATGAAAGGAGGGTCGAGACAGCAAGGGCTTATTGAGAGGAGAAGATTTAAGCATTGTCTCCCCTCTGTTATTATGGGCAACGTTCGGTCTCTTGGCAACAAGATGGACGAGCTAACGGCTCTGACGCGGGGCCACCCAGAGTTCCAAGAGTGTAGTTTGATGTGCTTCACGGAGACGTGGCTGCATAGGGACATAACGGACCAGACTGTCTCCGTGGATGGCTTCGACACCATCCGGGCTGACCGGGATCGTAAGAGTGGCAAGCGGAAAGGAGGGGGACTTGCCATTCTAGTGAACAGCAGATGGTGTTACCCGGGTCATATAACTGTTAAGGAACAGCTCTGTAGCCCGGATGTGGAACTGCTTGCCGTTGGACTCCGTCCATACCATCTGCCCAGAGAGATCCCTCATGTCATCATTGCTGTCCTGTACATCCCTCCCTCTGCAAACCCAACATCTGCCTGCAGCATCATACACACCTCCATCTCCAAACTACAGACGCAACACCCCAATGCCCTCATCATCATGTCGGGAGACTTCAACCACGTCACCATAAACAGAGTTCTCCCGACCTTCAAGCAATATGTGAGCTGTCCAACCAGAGAGGAGAGGACCCTGGATCTGATGTATGCTAACATTAAGGACGCATACATCTCCTCTTCTCTCCCCCCTCTGGGCAGGTCTGATCACAACCTGGTCCACCTCACACCTTGCTATGTGCCTCTTGTGAAGAGGGTGCCAACGACCACAAGGACTGTGAGGAGGTGGTCGGAGGAGGCTTATGAGACACTGCAGGCCTGCTTTGAGTTGACAGACTGGACTGCCCTTTGTGAGCCCCATGGGGAGGATATCGATCGGCTCACAGAGTGCGTCACGGACTATATCAACTTCTGTGTTGACTAGGGTTGTCAAAAGTATCGATACTTAAAAAAGTATCGATACTAAAATGTTGTATCCGGATACGATACTCATTTTCAAAAGTATCGATACCACCGCGCGAGCCCGTGCGAGTCCGCGCGAGCACGCGCGCGCGCGACGCTGACCTGCCGTCGCTGCTCCCCTTCTCTCTGATTTATTTACGTTGTTTATGATCATTAACAAGTTGTTAGCCTTGAACTGGTAGCTTCGGCTAATGGCTAATAATAACGTGCTACCATTAATCAAGTACATATCCGACTCCGCCCACATCGAAGTCGGCCATTATAGTTACATTAACAATAGGAAGATTCCAGGCAAGAAAATCCTAATTGCCACATGGCAATATAGAGATTCATTTAAAAATTGTGAAATTAATCCTTCAAACACTTAATTAAACTCTATGCATATTATTATGTTAAAATAAAAATAGGTTTGTACAATAAGTCCAAACAAGTTTAACCCAAAAATATTTATTTCTCACAATTATGAAGAGTGGAGGGTTAGGTTCAGGGTTAGGGTTATTAATGCAGGCCACCAGTCACAATAACATTAGTAACAGGTCAGTTTGAAATGAAAGACACTAACCTGTCAAAATTCTTTAAATTTTGGGGTCTTTTTTTAATCCTTGTGGTATCGAAAATGGTATCGAGTATCGAGTATTTTCCTGAGTATCGGTATCGAGTTGAAAATGTTTGTATCGTGACAACCCTAGTGTTGACTGCAATGTCCCAGCTCGGACCGTCACCTGCTATGCCAACAACAAACCATGGATCACTAAGAACATCAAGGCCATCCTTAATGAAAAGAAGAGGGCTTTCAGAAATGGCAACCGTGACGAGGTGAGGAGAGTACAGGGGGTACTCAAACTAAAAATTAAGGAGGCCAAGAACAAGTACAGGAGAAAGCTGGAGAATAAACTCCAGCATAACAACATGAGGGAGGTGTGGGGTGGCATGAGAACCATCACCGGGTTCCAGAAGACCGGCAACATGGGGTTGGATGGCCGAGTGGAACGAGCCAACGAATTGAACCTATTTTTCAATAGGTTTGATACTGAGGCCCATCCCCCACAAGCCTCTGCTGATGGTTTCCCAACGACGACCACTCCACCTGATGCCGATGGTTTCCCAACGACGACCACTCCACCTTCCCCCACTCCTCCTCCTTTCAGACGCCCTGTCTTCTCCTTATCACCTCATTCCACAGCCACCGACTCCACCCTTCCCCCCTGCTCTGCATCGTGTCCTCCACAACCTGAGGACTTAGCCCCTCCCACAACTGTCACCTCTTCAGTGTCCCTCACACCTGACCTGGTTCGAAGACAACTGACCAGACTCCACACCGGCAAAGCTGCAGGCCCCGATGGTGTATTTCCTGGGGTGCTTAAAGCTTGTGCCGCCCAGCTGTGTGGAGTCCTTGGTCTGGTCTTCAGCCTGAGCCTGCGCCTCCAGAGAGTCCCCGTGCTGTGGAAGACGTCCTGCCTCGTTCCTGTACCTAAGACGCCGCGTCCTAACGGCCCTCAGGACTACAGACCGGTGGCACTGACGTCCCACATCATGAAGACCTTCGAGAGGCTAGTTCTGGAGCAGCTAAGGCCTATGGTCAGGCCCTTCATGGATCCACTACAGTTCGCCTACCAGCCCCGCCTAGGAGTTGAGGACAGCATCATCTACCTGCTGAACAGAGTCTACACTCATCTGGACAAGCCGGTGAGCACTGTGAGGATCATGTTCTTTGATTTCTCCAGTGCTTTCAACACCATCCGTCCGGCTCTACTGGGTGAGAAGATGACGGCGATGCAGGTGGATGCCCCCATCGTGTCCTGGATTGTTGACTATCTGACGGGCAGACCACAGTATGTACGCCTACAGAACTGTGTGTCTGACAGGGTGATCAGCAACACCGGGGCCCCTCAGGGGACTGTCCTCTCTCCATTCCTCTTCACCGTCTTCACCTCAGACTTCAGCCATTGCTCTGAGTCCTGCCATCTTCAGAAATTCTCTGATGACTCAGCAATAGTTGGCTGCATTGAAAGGGGAGATGAAGGTGAATATAGGACTGTGGTGGACAACTTTGTCACTTGGAGTAAACTTAACCATCTGCAGCTCAATGTGACAAAGACAAAGGAGCTGATAGTGGATCTGAGGAGGGCCAAAACACCTGTGACCCCTGTTTCCATCCAGGGGGTCCCTGTAGACACTGTAGAGGAGTATAAGTACCTGGGGGTGTACTTAAATAATAAACTGGACTGGACAAGAAACACCGAGGCAGTCTACAAAAAGGGCCAAAGCCGACTCTTCTTCCTGAGGAGGCTGAGGTCGTTTAACATCTGTCAGACGATGCTGAGGATGTTTTATGAGTCTGTTGTGGCCAGTGCGATCTTCTTTGCTGTCACATGCTGGGGCAGTGGGCTGAGGATCACAGACAGCAACAGACTAAATAAACTGATCAAGAAGGCGGGTGATGTTGTAGGGGAGGAGCTGGACACTCTGTCGACCGTGGCAGAGAGGAGGATGCTGTCCAGGCTTAAGTCCATCATGGACAATGTCTCTCACCCCCTCTACGACACACTGGCCCAACAGAGGAGCTCCTTCAGCAGAAGACTCCTCTCACCCAGATGCACCACAGAGCGCCACCGGAAATCCTTCCTGCCTGTGGTCATCAATCTGTACAACGCTTCCCTCTGAGAGTCAATCTTAATCATTGACACTATCCACCTCTCATTTTGACCTACATATACACATATTGTTTCTTATGTATATATCTAGCTATATATATATGTATATATGTATAGACATGTACATATGTATATGCCTTTGTTTTATTTTGCTTATGGAGCCTGTAACAAAAATAATTTCCCTCTGGGATTATTAAAGTATTTCTGATTCTGATTCTGATTCTGAATAGGCAGCAGCATAAAAGTAAAGTGTTACAAACGTTATGTAAAAATAACTTCTACAAAGAAATACTTTAAAATGTATAGCCTGCAACATCACAACTAGTACCATACAGACTTATAAACAATGACAATTTAATCAAGCCAGACCATTAGTCTATCTTTAAACCCACTCAGGGAGATTAAGCAAACATTCAAGGCAGCACTCAGTCTTCCCTGGCGGGAGGTTTCAGACTGTGCTGTGATTTGGGGTGTTATGATTATCATGTATCAGGTGCTAAATATATCAAATAGAATGCCATTTTACAGTGACAGATTTGTTTTTAAGTGACCAGGCTGAATGCTTGACCAAGCTTTGAAAATTGTGACAAACTGAGTTAATTGAGAAAAAGTTCTGAGAGAAGAAGGTATTCTTGCAGGTCAACATTTAAAATTCTACTGGAGCAACTCAAGGGTTTGTTAGAAAAGCTGTCCCGCAGGATTTAATTAGTTGATATTAAAACTTTAGAAAGTTTCAAATGATCAAATCATAGCAATAATTTTGACTTATGCTCTTGGAAGTTATTAAAGACCAAAACACCTTAGACTCTGCAAGCCACAGGCAGCATTTTAAATAATAAAAGTTATGACAGTGTTATTAGGAAATACAATGAACAAGAATAACTTGTTTTTATTTTAAAGCATAATTCAGACTTCTTTTTGTGTTTTTGACAACCTCGATAGGTAGCCATTGGTCTTTAAGTAAACACATCAAAGCTTTGAAAGTCTAACAGAGACCTCCTATAGCCGTTTTCCACTAGTACATACTCGGCTCAACTCGCCTTTACCCAACTCACATTGGCCTGTTTCCCATTACAAACAGAAACAAAAGACTGTAGTGAAATAGATCCATGAGTTTTTCCATTAAAATATCTTGCAGATTTGTTATTTTTAAGGAGTTGGAACAGGTAAAGTTATGTCATAATTGGGGCGCGGCAGCAAATAAGAGACCAAGAGGTGAAGTCAGGCATAAAATTAAGAAATGCCTGGAAACAAAGCATTATAGTGAACAATTTACTGTGCAAAGCCATATTAGAACAGTCTAGACAGAGAACTGGGAGTCTAAATCGACTGGTTCTCCTTTAAAAGCAGATGAGAAAAATGGACTGAATCAAAAGGAGCTCCCTGTGTAACTTCACTGACAAAAAAGTGATATTTGTCAACACGAGTTTAAACTACCTAACAAAAATCAATCAGATTAGTTAGGTAATCGAGTCTGCTGATGTGGGTTTTTTTTGTCTGACTGTAAAAACCCGATTTTTTTAGACTTCTTGAAGGATTGAATCACTTTTACAAAATATCCACTTTCTGTCAACCCACAGAGCTGAAGGTTCCCAAGGAATCTGATTTTAGATGAGGTGAGAAAAAGTTTTAAACATCTCAGCTTGATCCTCTCGTCTTTATTTCCACTGACAGTGGTGCGAAATGATAGATCAAAGAAGAAGAAGGAGGAGAAGCGGCCCGGGGATTCGGAGATCTATGTGCTGTCAGCAGACACGGAGCAGATGATTGAACAAGTTTGCCGGGCCCATCAGGACACATTCCCCTCCCTTTGCCAGCTGGGAAAATATACCACGGTACTCATACACACAGTGCTAGCACAGGCATTCAGATGTAAATCCTAAGAAATAATTGCATGATATTCAACCTATTCTCCCTCCTGAACATGCAGAGCAACAGCTCTGAGCACCGAGTTGCTCTGGATGTCAGCCTCTGGGACAAATTCAGCGAACTGTCCACCAAATGCATCATCAAGACAGTGGAGTTTGCCAAGCAGCTCCCCGGCTTCACTACACTAAGCATAGCTGATCAGATCACCCTGCTTAAAGCTGCCTGCCTCGACATACTGGTGAGCTGTTTGTGCGCACCCAGGTTCCATTGAATCATTTTGTCAAGACAAATACACCCTGTTGGCAAACAAAGTCATGATATCATTCTCTTTTCCCTCCTTATGTGGCGACTGTCCTTCCTTTTGATAGATTCTGAGGATCTGCACACGCTACACCCCAGACCAGGACACCATGACGTTCTCCGACGGCCTGACCCTGAACCGCACACAGATGCACAATGCAGGGTTCGGCCCTCTGACAGACTTGGTTTTTTCCTTCGCCAACCAGCTGCTCCCGCTGGAAATGGATGATGCAGAAACAGGGTTACTTAGTGCCATCTGCCTGCTCTGCGGAGGTACCGTGATCAGTCTTTGGAACATTGGTAAAACTTATAGAGTAAACTGTAGAAATGTCCATTCTCTGTGGGTAATTTAAAAGTTTGAGTGTGTTTGCATGTGCAGATCGTCAGGACCTGGAGGAATCGGGAAAGGTGGATGTTCTTCAGGAGCCAATGCTAGAGGCCTTGAAGGTTTGGTATTATATTAATTGTTATAGTCGTACAAAGACATTCATAATTTGAATTGAAGTAGATTGACAAAATAAAGTTAATATGCATTAAAATGCTTCCTAAATTAGTAATAGTCATTGATTTTATGATAACAAAATCTTTAGTGTTGGCCATACCAACAACAACCAATTTTAAATGACCGACTCTAAAAAAAGAAGTTGGGACACCTAGTTGAATGTAAATAAAAACGGAATGTAAGAAAATGCAAATCACAGTCATCAATATTCCATTCAAAATAGAACAAATTAGATTTAGGAAGTGAAAAATATGAACATTTTGTGAAAATTGATGAATTCATAATAAATTTAGGCACTTTTCCACTAGTACCTACTCAGGCTGAGTAGGTACTGGTATCATCAGTATCTGCTTCGGCTGAGTAGGTACATGTATCATCAAAGAGGTAAACAGCTATGCTCAAACTAACACCACAGTCCAACAAAGAGATACAGCTGGTATATCGATGCCACATGTCCCTTATTGTTGTGCTGTGTTTGTCCATCCATCCATTATCAATACCGCTTAATCCCTGATGGGGTCGCAGGGGAATTAGAGCCTATCCCAGTGGTCAACAGGCGAGAGGCGGGGTACACCCTGGACAGTCCGCCAGTCCATCGCAGGGCCACACACAGGACATACAAGGACAAACAACCACTCACACTCACATTCACTCCTAAGGGCAATTTCCCCAAACTCCAATCAACCTAACATGTAGGTTTTTGGACTGTGGGAGGAAGCCGGAGAACCCGGAGAGAACCCACGCAGACACAGGGAGAACATGCAAACTCCACCCAGAAAGGTTCAAGTTCCCCCGGGATACGAACCCAGAACCCTCTTGCTGGGAGGCGACAGTGCTAACCACCACACTACCGTGCCGCCCTGCTGTGTTTGTTTCACATCTTAATGATTTTGCAGGAACATTATTTTCTAACAACCCCACACACGTTGGGGTATCATAACGGAAAATTACCCAATTCAAGTCAAGTGGGGACCAGTGGAAACAAAAAACATTAATCGTCCCATTTCCCTTTAACATCTAATCCTTAGTTAATAGAGGATTTTGGCTGCTCAATTGGCCTGTGTCTTCTTTGTTGTATTTTAAATGTTTTCTGTTGGTTAAAGATGGGGCAGGACTGTCCAGCACCAGGAATATTCCACCAAGAATCCCTCCTGTTTTTATAGATGCACTATGTGGTTTGGTATTGTCTGTCTTAAAAAAGCCTATTCCTAAGAAAGACTTAATCTGTATGGGAACATATGTTGCTCTAAAACCTTAAAAGTTCTCCACTTGTCATCACGCTGTTTTAAGTTATACTTCTTGTTCTTTATAAAATGAGATTTCAACTTGCATGTATGTGTATGGCATGGTGAACAGTATTTTAGAGATGAATTTTCATGAAGTATGTCTTAGCCAATTAACTCATTGACTGCCAGCCATTTTCAGAACAGAGTCCCATACTGCCAGAGTTTTTTGAGCATTTTGACTGATTTTTCAAGAGCCACAGAATATTTTGTGCTATGACTATGTACACACCGAACACACCAAAAGAAAGAGTAGAATCTCTTCTTTCTTCAGGAAAATTATTTTGTTTCTACCTTATTCCGTTCTTCCTCGACTTGCGTCACCGGCGACATGTTCTCTCATAGCGAACCGTTACCTTTTTCTTATTTGCCTACAGTCTATGCTCATCTCCCATCAAAAGTGGCACTGCCACCTAGAGGGTCAATTTGTTAGTACATACTCTGTCTAGAAGCCTGATATTTACGGACAAGCTTTATCAGATCGTCCCCCAAGCCACTCTCGTTGAAAAACATAAAAGACGTCTATAGACGTCTTTGGCAGTCAACGGTTGTATTTGAATTGACGTCTATAGACGTCTTTGGCAGCCAATGAGTTAAATGGATTTTTGTGTCAGATTTAGCCCATTTAAATTTTTACTGCCATTTCAATGCTCTTGGGATCAAGGGCATCTGGCACTGGTAAACTGCCTTTGCACATAGATGCCACATCTCATGATGGAATTATGTACGGTAGATGGCTGAATACTTTGTGAAAGGAACATTATTCTGACACTGACATTTTCCTCTCCACTGGCCCCTTTTTGATACCATGTGACCAACCTGTTGCTTAGTTACTTAGTTAGCTGAAATGTGCTTCCAGATGTTTATTGGTGACATTTTATTTTTTAAACTTGATTCTATCATATTTTTAATATTTTTATGAAACTGTAACATGTCTGACTTTGAGCATGAGGAATGATAATCTTCGTGTGAATATAGTATTTTTTTTTTCAGTTTTGCAAATGATCTCATTCTGTTTTTATTTACTTTTTTATGCCGCAAGTTTATCACATCTGGTCACAGTGGTTTTGAAGTTGTTTTTTTTTGTTTGTTTTTCAAAGTGAAAAGTCAAGAATCAACTTTATTTAGTTTTTTTTCCAAACAATTGCTGTTTTTGCAGATTTATGTGAGGAGGAGGAGGCCCGATAAACCCTGCATGTTCCCCAAAATACTGATGAAGATCACTGATCTGAGGAGTATTAGTGTGAAGGGTGAGACACACACACGCATATTTTTGTTCATTAGGACACATTTTTCCCTTCATCTGCCCATCATTTTAAGAGTATTAATTCAAATTATCTTTGATATCAAAATGTTTTAATTTTCAATTGCAGACAATTGGGATAACTAAAACAAAATTACAACACATGTGCGTCATCATGTGAAAAAGTGCTAGAAAAACTCAACAGGAATATTTGGTATGGATTTCATCTTGATATCACAGAAATTAATCGCATTGAGTGCAAGTTTAGTGATTTTAGTAAAAGATTTAGCTTTTTTTCAAAAATCAAACTGCGACTTACAGTCGGGAATATATACCGTAAATAAAAAAAAACTTTTTTCATACTGACTGTTATGAACAAGAGTAAACGTTGTCAGCCAAAAGAGGGCACTCCAGGCTTGTGACAACTGCTGCTCCTTTATCCCCCCCAAAAATGAATTGAAATCTTGCTTTTAAGGCAACTGAGTTATGTGGAACGAGGTTTTGATCTTGGTAAATTCACCTGCTGGTCAGTTGCTTGTTGGGCTTTGTGGCCTTGTAATGTTAATTTAGCCTATTCAGCCTTTCAGGTATATTCTTGATCCTTTTGTTTTGCAGAATTGCAGTTAACGTGTATGTTACCATACCAGACATCTATTGAGCCTGTTGTTCTTTGTGCTTTGGTGTTATTGAATAACTTAAATAATGTGGGTTTTTGAACTTTGAATTTGTTGTGATGCATCAAACTAAATATTTTGGGCAGTCATTTTAAGATGTCAGAGACAGATTTTTAAAAGTCACATTAGTCATGTGGAAAATAACTGATTTAGTGTTTTTTTAAATGAAAATATTAGTATAGTATAACCAGACTTGTATTTCAAGGGATACAATCCTGATGTGAAATCTGATACTATTGATCAGAGCAGAAGTTTATTTTGTATTTTTAGAAAATATTTAACCCAAAAAAGCTTTGAAAATATGAGTTTGTCCTGTTTCTTTGTTTTTTTTGGGGGGGGGGGGCATCTTTGTCCCAAATGACTCAAGAGGGTAGTAATTTTTAGATCCGAAAAATGTCATTTGCTTTTCCATGACTGTCATCAAATATTTGTTATGTATATGTATCTCTCTCTCTCTCTCTCTCTCTCTCTCTCTCTCTCTCTCTCTCTCTCT